GTTACCAAGTACGGAATGAGACTGGCATCTAGAGGGAAGAGGCCCCCTATGCTACTGTAACTATTCTACAGTGCAGATGTCACACCCTCCAAACTTAAGTACTACCTGGCCAGAAATGGCACTAATACTGGGGTTGGGACACCCTGTAGTAAGCTTCTAGATTGTTTTTCTTTTTTTTTAAAGATTTATTTATTTATTTGTACAGAACTGGGGTACAGGCCAGAGATGCAGAGGGTGAGAGGCTTCACCAGAGACAGAGCAGGGAGCAGAACAGGCAGATCGACAAAGTACATTGCTGAGGGGAGCAGCGGGCGGGTCAGGAGAGGTCTGCCACGCCATGTGGATCTCCTCCGGGGCAGGCGGGGATCGAACTCATGCGGAAGTGGCTTTAGCTTTTTAGTGCAGTGCTTTAACCCACTGCGCCACCAGGGAGGGCCCAGCTTCTAGATTGTTTATGACTACAGCATAGCCTCACTTGATTAACATAACAACTATCATGTTATAGCCAGTGTGGAAATAGTTGAAATTATTAATTAGTTAGGAACTGTGGTTATTAGGAAAACAAGTTTGATAGAAATCCTGGGGGAGAAAAATGCAGATACTGTTTATGGTATAAGATTTTGAAGGTAACTCAACAGGTTCAAGAGCTTTCAGTTCCACAGCTATGGCTGTGCAGTTGCAAATATTCCAGATAAACAAAAACCGACAGAAAGGTCTAAAACCAATGCAGTTGCACACTGAGTTCTCCAGTGAACTCAAATATTAACATAAAGGAGGTTTATAGTGAAAGATAAACAGAAGTCTTCTATTATCCTCAAAAAACAGCGTTAAAAAAAGTAAAACAACCAAGATCCAAAATTAAAGACCTGCAAAAAGTGCCAAGACTCCAAAAAGGTGTTTTGCTTTAGTTGTGTTAACTGCAAGATCAAGTGAAAAATGGATCTTTTACTTGATACTTATCACCTGTATTACAAATACAACAGCCGAACAGCTCAACAGAATTGCCTGTGCCTCTCATCACAGGCCACGAGCCACCAACCTTAGCTGGACTACCTGCTTCCTGTTCTTCCTCGGAAGGTGCTAGAATAGCTTATAACTAGCATTCTTTTTTTTTTTTT